ACTCCCAACATAGTGGCCTTTTGGTTTTTTAGATCCACCTCAGAATCCTCATAGGCCCACTGGCTAGAACATCCTCTCCTTTCATTGTTTTCAATTCTGACTCACCCTTCAGTGTGATATCAGTTCAAACTTTTTTCCAGGGAAATCATGCCTTAGGTAATGGACTCAGAATTCTGAGAAAAAGAAAAAATAAACAAAACACTTTTGGAATATTTATCTATGTTGTTCCAGTATAGAATACATATTCCATGGCCAGGAACAAGCTAACCAAATAACCCAAGCTTATTCTCCTAATGAGTGTGTTCTGGACCTAGTTATTTTGTTTTTGTTAGCAAATGTCTCCAACTTCGTTCCACAGCCTCACCCCTCTGACCCAGTACAGAAAGTTTTTTCTCCTCCCTGTCTTTCAAAGATTATTTCAAAGGCCAGCAATGGCATGATAGTTTAGGTGCTGGACTCCCACATGGCTAACCGTGGTTTAAGTCCTCGACCTGGATGCTTGCTTTCTGTTTTTCTACTTGTCTCTCTCTGGTAAGCCCATGTGCCCTATAGCAAATTTAAAAATAATACATTTTTTGGAGGGCCAACAGATGGTGTGGTGTTTAAGGGTGCTGGACTCCCACATGACAAATCACGGTCCGAGTCTCAGACCTGGCGGCTTGCTTTCTCACTTCCTCTCTCTCTCTCACTCTGTCTCTCTCTGGTCAAATTAAAATAAAAAATAAATAAATAAATAAAGTTAAATAATTCTTTAAATGAATATATAAATATTTTTCAAGAGATTTTTGCTATAGGGCATGTATACTTGTCAGAGAGACAGCGAGAGAGAGAGAGAGCGAGAAATCACCCCACCCCCCGGGGGGATGGTCACACCACAATCCCTTCTCCTTCATTCTCCTCCTGGGGACACAAGAACATGTGCCTGGTACGAGTTCTAAGCCTCGGGGCCTGGAACTAGAACTACAGTTGGCCATGTGGGAGTCCAGTGCCTCAACCGCCATCCACCCTGGTGGCCCCCAATAAATAAAATTATTTCAGCAGTTTTTCTATCCTTTAGGAAATGGGGAATTAAATATTGGGTGATTCCTTTTTTCCACCTTTGGACTTCATATTGGAAAATAAAAGGGTGTCGAGAGGAGGCAAACATCATTGCTGCTAAGTGGGTTAGAAGTATGGTGGTTACGTACTGCGCAGAGAAAGACAGATCCCATGCAGCAAGCCAGTACTCCAGTCCCAGACCCAGTGGCTTACAAACACACGCTGGGGGGCTAGTCAGTAGTGTGGTAGTTAAGGCAGCTGGATCCCACAAGACTGACTGTGCAGTTGAGTCCAAGGCCCTGAGGCTTGAAAAACACACCAATAGAATGTGTGTGCCCAAAGTTCTGAAAGGAGAATGGAGAAGGTATAGCAGCATGGCTACTCCCACAACTTTCTCCAGTGAGCCACAAGCCCGACATCAAAATTAAAAACAACAAACTGGGGCCAGATGGTAGCCTGGTCTTAAGGTGGCTGGATACCACCATGTGGTTGACTGCATGGTTAAGGACCAGAGCTGATGACTTGAGAAACATGCCAGGTGAGTGAGCATGAGTTTAAGATCCCAAAAGGAGAAATGGAGACGGAACTGTGGCATGCCCAACCCCCATGGAGAGGTGCTTCCTCTCTCTCTTGTTCCATTGGTGAGTGCAAACACCCTATAAATTTTCTTTTAAAAGAGAAAATGAAAATAAAAAAAAAAAAAAAGGAAACTAGCAGCTGGTGTAATGACTATGTCGCTGGACTCCCAAGTAGTCCACTGCGATTAAAGTCCCAGACCCGGTGGCTTAAACTCACGTCAGGCGCATGTGCGTGCATGCCTGCCCAAGATCCGGGGAGAAGGGGTGGCGGTGTGGTCATCCCCCCTGGGGGGGCGTGATTTCTCGCTGTCTTTCTGGTGAGTGCATGCACCCTATAGCAAAAACTTCTCAAAAAAAAAAATTCTTTTTTTAAAAAAAGCTTGAGGCATACACGCTACTAATTCTTAAAAAAAAAGAAAAAAAGAGTAACGCATACCATAGTGACATCTAGAAAATAGCATCCCAGCCAGTGACAGGGCCCTAGCATGGGCGGATGTGTGGGTCAGGTTAAGAAAAACAGGGAAGCCAGGGTGGCCAGAGTTGAGGTCAGAGAGAAAAAAGGGGTACAGGGGAGGAGACACTTTTAAGGCCTTGGAGGTCATTAAAAAGACTGCCTTTTTCTCCATGGGTTGGTTTTGAACATAGAAATGTTAGGATCTGGGGAACCAGCAGTTAGCGTAATGGCTATGTTGCTGGACTCCCACGTAGTCGACTACCTTTCGTGTCCTGGACCCGGTGGCTTAAAACTCACGCCGGGTGCGTGTGTGTGTGATCCTGAGAGGAGAATGGAGAAGGGATTGCGGCGTGACCATCCCCCCTGGGGGGTGATTTCTCTTCTGTCTCTATGTCTCTTTCTGTCTGGTGAGTACACGCGCCCTATAGTGAAAATCTCTCCAAAAAAAAAAAAGGAAACGTTAGGATCTGATATAGTTCAAAATGATCTTTTCATACAGGTGACTGAATTATTCTTCTCAAGTTCTGATAATTTTGTATTAAAAATGTGTACTCTGTACCTATATATATATATACACACACACATTTCTATAACCACAAAATAATGATCACAAACAAAAAACGTAACACTGCTACAGTATATTATTTACTCCACATTCAACATTTTTACAATTATCCCAAAAATCTTTTTTTAAAGATTTTATTTAGGGACCAGCAGATGGCATAATGGTGATGTCACTGAACTCCCATGTATTTGACTTGTGGTTTGAATCCCAGACCTGGCAGCTTAAGCTCACACCAGGCACATGCGTGCCCAGGATCCTGAGAGAGTGGAGAAGGGACTGCAGCATTGCCATCACCCCTGGGGGGTGATTTCTCGCTTTCTGTCACTATGTCTTTCTGAGAAGCACACATGCCCTATAGCAAAATAACCTCTCCAAAAAAGAATTTTTTAAAAAAGAATTATTTCATTTAACTATTTATTTAAAAAAAATTTGACCAGAAAAAGTGAGAAAATGCGAAAGCAAGTCACCAGGTCCAAGAATCTAACTGCGGGGACCAGCAGTTAGCGGAATGGCTATGTCACTGGACTCCCACGTAGTCGACCATGGTTCAAGTCCCATACCCATGGCTTAAACTCATGCCAGGCTCATGTGCGTGCGTGCCCAAGATCCCGACAGGAGAATGGAGAAGGGATTGCGGTGTGGCCATTCCCCATGGGGGGTGATTTCTTGCTTTCTGTCTCTCTGTCTCTGTCTGTCTGGCGAGCGCACGCACCCTATAGCAAAAAAACTCTCCAAAA